TGGATGGATGGATGGATGGATGGATGGATGGATGGATGGATGGATGGATGGATGGATGGATGGTTTTTTTTACTTGTGAACACACATGCCAGTTTTACATTATTTTGTCATTTTCAATAAAAAATAAATGTTTATTAATAATTATTATCTATAGTAAATAATAATTAAATATGCTAGACTTTTACCTAAATGGATGGATGAAATAAGTGTTTATTAATAATAATTTCTATAGTAAATAATAATTAAATATGCTAGACATTACCTAAATTCATAATAAAATACAATAAACAGGGTTTCTGTAAATTCAAGTATAATCATTGTGTTACAGCAGGATTGTTTTTTTTTTGCATCTGTTCATGATTTTATTGTCAGTATATGTGAAAACATCCTTCATTTACTAAAAAGTGGGTAAAAAAGATAACATCGCATGTAAAATTAACCCTAAAAACTGTTTTAATTATGCTGTCTTTTTGTGACACGCTCAATTTTTTTCTTTTGTTTTTCACTTTCTTTTTTTGTTCTCTGCTGCCAGGTTGTTTTGCTGCTATTGCTGTTTTATAGTGTAATTAAAGCTTTTTAATCTTATTCAAAAATGAAATGAATACAGACAGATAGGTAGATGAAGAGCAGAGCAACTGTTGAACTCTTGCTAAGAACTGTCAACACGTTCGGGGCCTGATAAATGAAACAGCACGGTCAGCAAGGCGATGCAGTCGGCTCCGCAGAGATCACCGCAGGCCGTTTCCCTGACTGAGGTCCACCTGGAACAAAGCCTGATCAGGTCACCTTTAAAAGCCCTTAAATCAAAGCGGACTCCGGCACCCAACAGCCACACCTGGAAATGTCAGTTTCTGTCGACAGCGTATAAATGGATGTGACTGCGGTCAGCAACTTTTTGAGGACAGTCTGCAGGAACTTCCTCCAACCTGCCGATTCAGAGGTTCGTTGGTTTGCTGTGCCAGAGGGGTCAAACCTCGGTGGGAGAAAGGTGAAACATCGGAAATAGAATTTTTTTAAAGACCCATGTGAGTCCTTTAAAGGATCTCCCAGTAAGTGAATGGCCTCTTGAAGACTAAGGATTTTTACTACCTTGAAAATAGAAATTCACACCATCCATCCAACCATCATCTTCACCCACTTCTTCCTTTTCAGGTCGTGGAGGTCACTGGTGCCCAAACGTCACTGTTCAAGAGGCAGAGGACACCCTGGACAGGTCTCCAGTCCATTACAGGGGAAATACACACTACTTTTTAAATCAAAATAATTTACAAATTACCAAATTGACATCACTTTATGACACGTGGCAGGATGATTGAAACTTGGATACATTCATCTTTTCTCACTCCAAATGAATAAAAATAACTTTCAAACTTGCTTTTTGAGCCTCAAGTGAGACTCAGTCTCTGCTGAACTCCTTCTTTGTCGAGTCTGGACTTAAAATCGTTTTATTCTTGGACATCCAGTGCATTTTGCAAAGTTATTTATTCCAGCGTGGGCTATTCTTTATTTACACAGGACTTTTTTCATATCTCAGCAGTGTTGAAAATGCTGTTATTGCACAGTAAATACTTTAGCCATATTTCAGAGAAACTCTTCAATATTTTATGAAAATGCATTCTAGTCTGTTCATTAAATTATATTAGTTTTTGGTAAAGTATACAGAAAAATGCTGAACTGGCCCTGCTCTTACTAAACTGTAAGTTTGTCAATTCAGTGACAACATTATCTGCTAACATATTATAGAAAATTACTTCTTTTTTTTTTTTACATTGATAGCAGAAGACAACATTAAAACTGCATATAAAACATTTATACTGAATTACAACGCTTTTAAACAAAGCACATCCGCCTGTCATAACAGGAAAAAATATATCAATAGCAGATTTTATGTGTTTAATTTTAAACAATGACTGATTGAGGGCACATTTTTCACCCATGAAATGTGCACCATCTTTTACTTACCAGGCATGTCAGCTGTCTTTGTCTTCACAGAACATCCGTCGGCTGTTTTAGGGTTTGCAAGCTGCTGTGGACCGTTAGTCCTCTCTGCTGTTGCTCTGAATGAATCCTCAAAAGACACCCTTCCCTCTCTCACATTATGCATTTCTGCAGAAATAGAAATAGAGCCAACACTTCCATCACATAAAGTACAAAACTGTGTCATGTTGACACAGAGAAAGGAAAAAGAAGGCTTCCAAAATCACAAAAGGTGTTTTTGTCATTTGTGTGATGGCTGCTTCAACTTTCACAGTTTTTCTTCTTTTTTTTTTTCTTCTGTCCAGGTGCTGGTCGTAAAATTAGAACATCATGAAAATGTTGATTTATTTCAGTAACACTTCAAAAAGTGAAACTTGTATATTCGTTCATTACACACAGACTGATATATTTCAAATGTTTATTTATTTTGATGTTGATGATTATAATCGACAACTAATGAAAACCCCAAATTCAGTCTCTCATAAAATTTGAATATTACTTAAGACCAATTAAAAAAGGATTTTTAGAAATGTTGGCCAACTTTAAAGTATGAACATGAAAAGTATGAGCATGTACAGCACTCAATACTTGGTTGGAGCCCCTTTTACCTGGATTCATGCAGCAATGCAACGTGGCATGGACTCGATCAGTCTGTGGCACTGCTCAGGTGTTATGAGAGTTTTTGCTTATTTTAGCTAACCTTTTGCTGCTTTTAGCGAGTGTGTTGCTATTTTTAGCTTTTAACATGCCTTTTTACTACTTTGAATGTCTAGCTATCATTTTGCTACTTGTAGTTGTTAGCTAATCTTTTGACACTTGTAGCTTTTAACTAGACCTTTCCTAATTTTAACTTGAGTTTTGCTACTTTGGGTTTTTGGATGTTTGGTAACTTTTGATATTTTGCTAAGTGTGTTGTTCAATTTAGCTTTTAGCTAGTGTTTTGTTTTGTTTTTTCCCTACTACTTTTAGTTTTTGGGTAATGTTTAGTCACTTTTAGCTATTATGCTGATTCTTTAGCTTTAACAACTCAGTTTCGGCTTGGTCAGCGCTCAGAATTCACACTATATTTTAGCAGGGCATGGAATGGCTCGAGTTTCATTTCAGCTTCTTTTGGTATGCAATCATTTTCATCAGATATATGCAGGGTAAAACAAACAGTGAGCTGAAATCTACCTGTCAGAGGAAGCTCACGTCCTCCAGCAGGGACAGGAGCCAGACAGGACAGGTCTGGTTGCACCAAGGTCCCTGGAGGAGGCAGCGTGCTGCTGATCCGCGCGTCAAATTTAGTGCTACGGCAGGTGTTACTGCATACGGAGTCATGCTGGAAGAAATCTATCTGGCCAGAGTCCATCATTTTCCTGCAAGGGGACGAGCAGGTTAAAACAATACGGCTAAGGAAATTAGAAAACTGTTTCACTTCGCAGTAGTAGCTGCGGGTTGAATTCCCAGAACAAGCCTGAGAGCCTCTCTGGGTTTGGTTTGACACGGAGCTCGTCGATCAGGCCCTCAGGAGGAATCGAGATGAAAAGAGCTGATACAGCCTGTTGAAATGTGTTGCCTCGCAGTAACGCCAACAACAAGTGCAAACAGGATAAAGAGGTGAGAAGCACGACTCAGCAGCTCACATGCGAGTCATTTAATCCGTCTCCCATCATAGTTCAGATTACCCACCACCTCTGGTATGTAGTGGCAATAAGACACTGATATGAAGCAGGAAGCTGTGGTTTGTTTTTTTCTAAAGGTAAGTTAACTGTGTGGGGTTGATGGGTTCTAAAGTAGGAGACATAAACCACAATGTGATAGAAAGAAGTGAGCCTAATGTTCACCCACAGTTAGACAGAAACTCATTTTTATAACATTTCATTTTTACTACCTGAGCACGACCCCTCCCAGTCTGATGGCCCTCTTCCAGTCCTTCAGGGTGGCTTTCTCTGCCAAGTTTACAAACTGCTTGGGACTAATGAGCTGCTCGTTAAACTGTAAACAGACAAGGCAATTTATGTCAGGTAAGCAATCAATACACCTGGCTGCTGTGGAAACGTAACATTTCTAGTTCTGGGAGGGTAAGATTCAAGTTAAACTCGGGTTAAAATGAAGCTAAGGAGTGTATTCTGATCAGCATGCCAAAGAGTTAAAGATGTTGCGTGATCTGTTAGTTTGAAGCATGCACTGAGGATGACTCTCAGCTATTAGCACGACAGGTTTTAGCTCAGTATCTGTAAAATTAATTCAGATACAGCTATTCTTGTGTCTGCTGAGGTTGATCAACTGTGGCGGCCATATTAAAATGGTCGAAACCTTGTGTTTCTAAAAAGTCACTGATATAAATGCCAACAAAACTAATAAAGATAATAATAAGTATCTAATAAAAATGTGTGAATTGGAAGTTCATGAGAAAAATGTTGGTTTAAATTTTATATAAGGTTGAGTCAGGTCCTCTGTCTGGACCAGGGGTCTGCAACCTGCGGTTCTGGAGCCACATGCGGCTCTTTGGTCCCTCTGCAGCAGCTCTTTCAAGCTTTGACCAAAACTGACATAAAACTGAATTTTATTGGTTATACAAACAACAAAAAAGTACTAGTTTTAGCTGTTTTCCTGTCATTTCTTTTGCAAATATTCATTTTTTTTTTTTTTTTTTGCTTTATTTCTATACTTAATAGTTTTTTCCACAATTTAAAAAAAATCACATCGGTCTGCACAGTTCATTGATTTTTTTAAACTACTCCCCCACCACCACCACCTTTACAAGAATCTGGTCTTTTCATTTGTATTAAATAGTAAAAATATCAATAAATTATAAAACTCATTAGATATTTTTAGCTTTATAATGTCATCACTACTGGCCACAAACGTCTCCTCCAAAAAAACCTGAAGTGGCCCATGGGCCACCAGTTGATAATCACAGTTGTAGCAGGTTGTTGTGGCTCTGGACACATTTAATTTAGTAAATGCAGTTGCAAAAATGGCTCTTTTCATCATGAAGGTTGCAGACCCCTCTGATCTGGACGGATTCTTCTTTGTTGAAACGTTTCATCTTTTATCCAAAAGACTTCTTCAGTCTGAGAAGCTGCAGCAAACTCAGTCCTCAGCACCTTCTCACAGTGGATCAACCAGTTTGCTGCTGACAGCCAAAACTAGCTGTTCACATGATAAAGGAAGACCCGACGGTACGCCCCCTCCTCAGTTGCCGGCCCTCTTCCTTGTAGACAATCATGTCAAACCACCAACATAACTGGTTTGTTCCACTTTGGAGTAAACTGTTTGGGGGAAGTATCAGTTTTGTGTTGTGTGCTGACTTGACTGATGAAGCCTTCCGGATGGAAGGTGAAACATTTCAGCAAAAAAAGAAACTGTCCAGATGACCTGACTGAAAATTGTTGGATTGTATACCTGGAATATTGAGCATGGACTTTTTTGATAAAGGAAGACCATGAGCCTTATGACCAATTATTAGTGCCCTGATGGCCTCTTGGTATTCACAGAGGGCTGAGTGATACTAGCAATAACAGCACTGTAAGAGGGGGACAGTTGAACATGGAGGCCTCCACCTCTGTTTAATGATGGACGGGTTCTCTTCACAAAAATGGCTTCCTTCACTCCTTTCAAACCAGCGTTCCTCTTAAGGCTGCGCAGTCTTAATCCCTGAACGAGTGACCGCTGGCCTAGAGATGAGCGTAAACCACAGTCTTGGTCTTATGATGTTGATCTTCAGTGCTGGGTCATCCTTTTGGCCAGTGGCTGTTTAGTTTCCCCGATGTAAGACTGATCACCCTCCTGACACTGAACAGCATACACAATATTACTCTGTTTGAGCCGGGGGGCTGGATCTTTGGGATGAACCAGTCTTTGCCATAATGTATTTTGGGGATTGAAAGTCACTGGGACATCACGTTTAGAAACAAACAACACCAACAAACTGGTTGATCCACTATGAAAAGGTGCTATTTATAAAACTGAGTTTGTTGCAGCTCCTCAGACTGAAGAAGTCTTTTGGACAAAAGATGAAATGTTTCAACAAAGAAGAATCAGTCCAGAGGACCTGATTTAACCTTGTTCGATTTATCCACGTGTATTATTGAGCATGCCTCAGGACATGTATAGATTTTACCTCACTTCAATGGTTATTTTAAAGAAAAAACATAATGAGACTACAAAAAAAATTTTGTTTTGTTTTGTTGTTTTGTTTTTTAAGAAGAATGCATAAAGTGAATTCATCAACAAATAAATGTTTTGCATCTTTCTGGTTAAACCCTTGCCACACTCTTGCAATATTCTTCATGTTAAATGTGTGAACTCACTCAGGCGACACATCTCACGTTGATTCCAGGACACAAACTTCTTGAAGAGCAGGACGGCTCTGCTGTTCCCACAAGTGATGGGGTAACCGGGGTAACCATACTCAGCGTCCTCTCCTCCAGCTTTACACTTAACTAAAAGTCAAAAGCAAAACCGTGAGCTCCTGCAGTGACTCTTTCACAAAAATACATTCACTAAATACAGTCAAAAAGGTCAAAACTGTCCCCCAAAAAAGGCTTTTCTTACCTTGATGGGTCTTGACGGCTAAGAGCGTGGTTCCATGCTCCATAGTGACACCATTTAACCTGTAGAAGGTGACAGAGCACATGACAATTTTGTAAATACAGTAGTCCCTCGCTACTTCGTGGTTCATTTATCGTGGATTCGCTCTATCGCGGTTTTTCAAAATAAGATTGGACATGACACACAATTGGCTGACTGATGGATGAGCCGCACAATCGGCATGGAATTTTTATTTAAAATAAATTATTTTAAATTATTTAGCACCTCCTGCACCTTTGTGCAGCCCATACTGCAGGATAAACTTCCTCCTGCAACTGATCAGCTGCTCTCTGTGCAGAGTGGAAAAATGGGCGTGGCCCAGAGCACTTGTAGGTGGCTGAGAGCAGTGGAGGCACAGAGAGAGAAATCATGAAATTCTGTGCTCTTTTAGATAGTTTAGAAACATTGTTTAGAATATTGCAAGAGTGTTGCAAGGGTTTAAAACGCTTATAT